CCAAGCTGGCTTTGAACCAGGATACTCAGATCTCTGCCTCCTGAGTAGCTAGGATTACAGATTTGAGCCACCAGTGCCCGGCTATACAGTGTCTTTGAAGCCTCTCTCTATATTCCTTTTTTCATTAGAGCCTCAGAGTACCTGGCTGCATTAATTAATTAGAGTGAATTATCCAGGCTCTGCTGCAGAGGGGTCATGATGTCAGCCCTTCTGCCTGCTCTGGCAGATTATTCTTGGAGGCACTTGAACACTTTAAGTGCTTCCCCATCCTTGCCCTGTGCCACAAGGACCACAAGAACTGTCTCAGCTTTTAACAGTATTCATAATAGAGTCAGAGGACAGCTTCTGCATCTTGAAGCTTTTCTTTTTCATGACTTCACATGAGTTTCTAGACCCTTTCCGCCCTCTCCCCCACACTCTGTCTGAATCTATGAAGGGTCGGTGCTGGCTGCCAGCAGAGCTCATGCCCACCGGCAGTTTCCTGGCAGTAGGCAGTCATCTAGGATGGATGCTTGAGAGGGTTTTTTGTTTTATTGCTTTTGGTGGGGCTTGAACTCTGGGCCTGGGCGCTGTCCCTTAGCTCTTCAGCTTAAGGCGAGCATGCTAGCACTTGAGCCACAGCGCCACTTCTGGCTTTCTGATGGCTTATTGGAGTTAAGAGTCGCTTGGACTTTCCTGCCTGGGCTGGCATTGAACTGGGATCCTCAGATCTCAGCCTCCTGAGTAGCTAGGATTACGGGTATGAGCCACTGAGACCTGGCTTGAGAGGGATTTTTAACCCAATGGTCAACAGATGAGATCTTGAAAAGAGGGCATCTTGGTTGGTGATCCAAAGCCAGATGGATGTACATGAGATTTGTCTGGGCCCAACCAGCATCTGCCTGGAGAACTTAGAGCCTGAGGCAGGGTATGCATGCCAGTCATAAAGGCTTGTGGTGTCCCCTGTTCAAGACCTCATGACACCAGCCCTCTGCTGGGCTGAGTCTGCTTTGTTGACATTGGGTTCCTTTCCCAGATATGTAGGCTTTTCCCAATCAGTCCACCTTTCTCTAGGATTTGGGGCCGCTGTTCTTTGAGAGTGAGGCTTGAGCTACTTGCTTGGTAAAATCCAGATTCCTAGGCCCTGTGTCAGACCTAAAACTCAGACCCTTTGGGTATCCTTAAACATGCTTACTCCTTAGTAACTGAATTGTGCAGTGCACTGATGATCACCATCTGCAGATTCTTGGCTTGACATCTAGATCCTTTGCTTTTGTTTTTTGTTTTGTTTTGTTTTTGGCCAGTCCTGGGGCTTGAACTCAGAGCCTGGGTGCTGTCTTTATCAAGACACAGAGCCACTTCTGGCCTTTTCTGTTTATGTGGTACTGAGGAATCAAATCCAGGGTTTCATGCATGCTAGGCTGGCACTCTACCACTAAACCACCTTACCAGCCTGACATGTAGACTCTTGACACTAAGATTTGGGAAAGGAGCCTGGAGCTTAAGTCTGGCCAGCCCTTCCCAAGTTTTCCTAAATTAGTTGGGGTCCCATTGCCTGAACTGAAAGAAGAGCTTGCCAATATCTGAGAAAGAAGAAGAGAGAGTTAAGTCCCATTTTGAGGGTTAACAGTTATTTTATTAAGACCTAAAATGCTTAATCATGGCCTGGCCTTTTTATAGATCAGTCTTTAGTCTGTTTCTAGAAGCTTTGGCAGTTTGCATAGCTATTGAAGGAGACTGATAGTGTTGTCTATTGGTTTGTTTTTTGCCAGTCCTGGGCTTGAACTCAGGGCCTGGGTGCTGTCCCTGAGTCTCTTTGGGCTCAAGGCTAGTGCTCTGTCACTTGAGCCACAGTGCCACTTCTGGTTTTTGCATGGTTAGAGATAAGAGTCTCACGGGGACTTTGCTGCCCAGGCTGGCTTGGAACTGGGATCCTCACATCTCAGCCTCTTGAGTAGATAGGATTACAGACATGAGCCACTGGTGCCTGGCTCTTATTTGTGTTCTTAAAGCATGGAATTATAGTATAATTGGTGCATAATTGTCATCCTGTGCCTTCTCCATGACCCTAGGGCTTCTTGAGTGTTGTCTGTCCCTGTGGTACATTGTATACTAACCTAAGTTGTTGATGGTCTGCTTACTTTCATTTGCAGTTTTCTTGGTTTTGTTTCACTTTTTTGCTTTGTATGTGTGTGTATGGGGGTGGGGTTATGCTTTTAAAAAGAAGTCCTTTTATTTTGGTAAGGTTCTGAGAGGGAGCAAAATAAATGTGACAATGTAGTTACCAACTTCGCTAATTTATTTAAGACTTCCATGTACTTACACTTTTTTTTCCTTTTTTTCCCTGGTCCTGGGGCTTGAACTTAGGGCCTGGGTGCTGTCCCTGAGCCTCTTGGTGCTAAAGGCTAGCCCTCTACCCCTTGAGCCACAGTTCCATGTCTGGCTTTTTTCCGAGTAGTTTATTGGAGATAAGAGTCTCCTGGGGCTGGGAATGTGGCTTAGTGGTAGAGTGCTCACCTAGCATGCATGAAGCCCTAGGTTTGATTTCTCAGTATCACATAAAGAGAAAAAGCCAGAAGTAGTGCTATGGCTTAAGTGGTAGAGTGCTAGCCTTGAGCAAAAGAAGCTCAAGGACAGTTTCCAAGCCCTGAATTCAAGTTCCAGGACTGGCAAAAAAAAAAAAAGTTTCATGGACTTTTCTGCCCAAGCTGGCCTCAAACCACGATCCTCAGATCTCAGCTTCCTGAGTATCTAGGATTACAGGTATGAGCCCCAGCACTGACTTCCTTTTGGGTTTTTGATACAGAGTCTTATGATATAGCCCAGGCAGCCTCAGTCTTGCTATGGATATGGTCTATCACATTACCTAACATTTCTCAGAACTCCTTCAACTTCATTTTCTGATGTATTTATTTATTTATTTATGCTAGTCCTGGGACTTGAGTTCATGGTCTGAGCATTGTCTGTGAGCCACTGCTGCCCAGATTTTAAAATTTTTCTTGAAGTAAAATGTGCATAAGATTTGCCATTTTAACTTTTTTTTTTGGTTGGTCATGGGGCTTGAACTCTGGGCTTGGGCACTGTCCCTGCGCTCTTCAGCTCATGGCTAACACTCTGCCACTTGAGCCACAGCGCCACTTCTGGTTTTCTGGCACAAGGACTTGCCTGCCCGGGCTGGCTTTGAACTGTGATCCTCAGATCTCAGCCTCCTGAGTAGCTAGGATTACAGACGTGAGCCACCGATGCCTGACTCATTTTAACTATTTTTAAGTGTTAGTTTGGTGACATAAAACTATGTTCTCAGTGCTGTGCAAGTTTTACTGCTATCTGTTTCCTGAAGGTTTTTTTTTTTTTTTTGTCGGTCGTGGGGCTTGAACTCTGGGCCTGGGCGCTGTCCCTCAGCTCTTCAGCTCAAGGCTAGCACTCTACCACTTGAGCCACAGCGCCACTTCCGGCTTTTTTCTTTTTGCTTATATGGTGCTGAGGAATCGAACCCAGGGCCTTAGGCATGCAAGGCAAGTGCTCTACCACTGAGCCACCTTCCCAGCCTTGCATTGGATTCTTGTTTGTATTTTCCCCCTCATTTCATTTGTCTACCCTTTGCCCCTTGGCCCCACCTCACCCCTTTTGAGTACCATCTTCCTGGTACTTTATTTTGCTGAACTTTTGATTTTGTCTTTCTAAGGACTTACAGTATTTAAGATCTTGAATCTACTGTATTTCAGTCAATACATTAATATATACTTGCATACCAACTGTTATATTTACTTATGAGTTTGTAAGCTAAATCTGTCTTATATATAAGAAAACACATGGATTCTTCATTTCTCTGGGCCTGACTTACTTCGCTTAACATAATTTTTTCCAAGTCTTTCCATTTCTTTTTTATTATTATTATGAAAATACCATACAGAGGAGTTACAATTACATCGGTAAGATAATGAGTACATTTCTTATCAAGCATTGTTGCCTCCTCCTTTGTTTCCATTTCTTTACAAATGGTACAATATTATTTTTTCTAATGGAGTAGTACAATTGCATTGTGTACATATACCCACATTTTCTTGATCCATTTGTCCATTGAGGGGCATCTGGGCTGATTCCATACCTTGGCTCTGATGAATAGTGCTGCAATAACACTGTGCTACAATAACATGGTTGTGCTGGTGGCTTTACTGTATCTTGGTTTGTAATCTTTTGGGTAAATGCCCAGGAGTGGAAATACTAGATCATAGGGTAGTTAGTGTAGTTATACAATATTTGTCCTATGTTTGGTTCATTTCAATTAGTGTAGCATCTACAAGTTCACCTTTTTTTTTTTTCCTGCTCATTCTGGAGCTTGAACTCAGGGCCTAGGCACTGGCTCTGAGTCTCTTTGTGCTCAAGGCTAGCACTCTACTGCTTGAGTCACAGTGTCAGTTCTGGCTTTTTCTAAGTAGTTTATTGGAGATAAGAGTCTCATAGACTTTTCTTCCCAGGCTTTAAGCCATGATCCTCATATCTCATGCTCCTGAGTAGCTAGGATTGCAGGTGTGATCGACTAATGCCTGGCTTCACCTTCTTTTTGAAACAAAAAGAGAATGAATGAACGAATGAATGAAGAACAAGTATTAATTAGCCTCTGATCTTAGCATGTCTGGCTGTCTTAGCTCAGAAGTCCAATGCCAGCCTAATGCATCCTTTAGAAGGATAGGTTTACATTCCAGCTTAATTGTCAGGATCTTGAAAAATGGTTAGAAGAGCATAGCACAGTGAATCGTGCACATATGCTAGTCTCTGTTGGAAAAAGAAGAACTTAAGAGCTTTGGCAGTAGTGACCTGGAGTCCTGTCTGTTGGTAGGAGGCTATTCAGCCCTGTCCCCCTTAGCAGACCAGATGGTCACAGTGGCTAACACAATACTCTGCAGTGTCCCAGACTTCCTGAGACTATGGTGGAGGGGGACAGAGCACCTTCCCAGGTAGGGCTTTCCCTTCCTCTGAGTATTACTTTGTGCCTGACGTTTTGGTTCTCTCTCCTACAGATTTCTGCATGAACCCCCAGACAGTGCTGCTCCTGAGGGTCATTGCTGCCTTCTGCTTCCTGGGCATCCTGTGTAGTCTTTCTGCATTCCTTCTTGATGTCTTTGGGCCCAAGCATCCAGCCCTGAAGATCACTCGTCGCTATGCCTTTGCCCATATCCTCACTGGTAAGCTGAGGGCCTATTCCCATGAAGGGGGAGCTGCCAGAGGGCACAGTGGCGTGTGGAACTCATTTCTATTAGCAGACATGGTTCCAGGTGCTCCTATGACAAGCTTAGCTTTTCACAGAGCATTTGAGTCTGTTAGCAGTTTGCTGCAGTCATTTGTAAATGTGCTTGCCAAGATACCAAACCTACTCAGTCCATCTGTAGGGAGGGAATGTTGTTAGAATTCCATAAAGAACCTCACAGCTCTCTAAAAATGGCATTTGAAGTTCATTTGAGCTCAGAGCCTGGAGTAAGCAAGAAGGAGCCAGGCTGTCTATCCTAGACGGGTGTACAAGTATTCTACCTCTTTTTTTTTTTTGTCAGTTGTGGGGCTTGAACTCTGGGCCTGGGTGCTTTCCCTCAGCTCTTCAGCTCAAGGCTAGTGCTCTACAACTTGAACCACAGTGCCACTTCCAGTTTTCTGGTAGTTTTTGGAGATAAGAGTCTCATGGACTTTTTCTGCCCGGGCTGGCTTTGAGCCATGATTCTCAAATCTCAGCCTCCTGAGTAGCTAGGATTACAGGCATGAGCCGCCAGCACCCAGCTGTACTCTACCCTCTGACTTCCCTGTAGACCAGCCTTCTTGGCTTGTACTGGTCTGGCTGATCTCCTCCCCTATAACTGAGCTAGTGTGTCAGTTTGGCTTGTGTTGGTACTTGTCAACTCCAGCTCACACGTTTCACAGCTTGCTTATTTCTTTTAAGGACCTAACAACATATAATAGTGTCCTTAGTATGCCAATTGCAATTTTTTAAGCAGTACCAGGACTTGAGATGAGGGTTTTCATGTTTGCCAGACAGGTGTTCCACCACTGAGCCATGCTTTCATTTCCATTTTTCACTGATTATTTTTGAGATAGGGTCTAGTTTCTTGCCAGAGTATACTCCTTTACCATAATCTGCCTATTTTAAAAGGCTTCCCATCTTTGGGTTCACAAGCATGTACCAACACAACCACTTCCCTATGTGGAGATGGAGTCTCATAGACTTTTTTATCTAGATTGGAACTGTAATATAACCTCCCACATAGCTTAGAATAATGAGGTGGGAATGTGGCTTGCCTAGCATGCATAAATCTCTGGGTTCGATTCCTCAGTACCACATAAACAGAAAAAGCTGGAAGTGGTGCTGTGGCTCAAGTGGCAGAGTGCTAGCCTTGAACAAATGAAGCTCAGAGACAGTGCCCCAGGCCCTGAGTTCAAGCCCCAAGACTGGCCAGAAAAAAAAAAAAGAGGGGCTAGGAAGGTGGCTCAGTGGTAGAGTGCTTGCCTTGCATGCATGAGGCCCTGGGCTGGGTTCGATTCCTCAGCCTCACATAAACAAAAAGAAAAAAGTGGAAGTGGTGCTGTGGCTCAAGTGGTAGAGTGCTAGCCTTGAGCTGAAGAGCTGAGGGACAGTGCCCAGGCCCAGAGTTCAGGCCCCATGATCGGACCCCCTCCTCTCAAAAAAAAGAAAAGAAAAGAAAAGGGTGCTTACCACTGCACCCAGCTATGGGTCAAGAAGGGGGTCTTGTGAACTTTTATGTCTGATCTGTCCTTGAACCACAATCCTCCCATTCTCATCCTCCCAAATAGCTAGTGTTAACAGGCATGAGCTACTAGCACCTGGCTCCAATTTCAGATTGTTAAGACAAAGATAATTTGTCTAGGATGAGGTCAAATAGCTGTCCCCAACTGCATGCCAAGAATCCCATGGCCAAGAGAGCTCCTCTTTTCAGGGCCTGGGACCAGACAGATTCTCTGAAAGGCTATTCTCAAGCATCTAGGCAACAGAGGCCTCCTAATCCCCCTTCTGTGCTGTCCTTCTGTCCCCTAGTCCTGCAGTGTGCCACCGTCATTGGCTTTTCTTATTGGGCTTCTGAACTCATCCTGGCCCAGCAGCAGCAACATAAGAAGTACCACGGCTCGCAGGTCTACGTCACCTTTGCTGTTAGTTTCTATCTGGTGGCAGGAGCTGGTGGAGCCTCAATCCTGGCTACTGCGGCCAACCTCCTGCGTCACTACCCTACAGAAGAAGAAGAGCAAGCACTGGAACTGCTGTCTGAGATGGAGGAGAATGAGCCCTACCCAGCAGAGTATGAGGTCATCAATCAGTTCCAGCCACCCCCAGCCTATACACCCTAATGCCAGCCAGAACTTTCTTCCTTTCAGCAGCCCCTCCCCCAATGCTACAGCTCCACTTGTGCCCAGAGGAGCTCCTTTCCCCAGCAGGCCTCACTAGTAGGACCCTGACCATCTTTACCAAACCTCCCCAGGAGAGACTCTGCCTTTAGAGTTGTCCATGTGTCCCTGCTCCCAGAAGTTGGGATTCAGCGAATTTATGTAATGCACTTTCCCCTACTGCCACACTCTGCTCCCTTACCAGTCACCCATCACTTCCAACCAGGGGAGGGCCAGACAGGTTTCCTCCCTTCATGGGCCATATCTTTGGGTCTGGGACTTTCTTGGGGTTGCTGCTGGTAGTGGACAATTCCAGAGAGAAGTGTCACCAGAGCACAAGGAAAAGGGGACTTGCCCTATAGGTTCCCTTCATGAGGCTTAACATTTGTTCCATACCTGTAGCTCTGGGCTGACTCCTTCCTTCCTTCTCAGTGCCCCAGGCCCAGGCTGCCCACCTGGTGGATTCTCTGCACTTTAGTCTTTGGACTTCTCCTTACATGTGTTCTGGTTTTCTGGGAAGAAGAAATTACTGTTGGGGAGCAGAGCACTAGCTCTCTCTGCCCTGCTGTGGTTTCCTATGTCGAGCCAGGAAAGGAAGGCAGAAGCAAGCCAGAGCCCAAGGCCTCCTGTGCCTCCTCATAGGATCAGAGGGAAAGAGACTCAGTCTCTTGATCTTGTCACCTTTTAAAATGAATAGTTTTAAAAGAAAAAAAAAACAGAAACAAGCAGCAGTAACTATATTGTCTTTTAAAAATAGGGACAAGGCTGTTGTCCTTTTTCAGAAATGGATCCCATTCCCTCTGGCTCTGCAATATTTGGACCATAGCTCAGTCTGAGCCTCTGGTCACTCCTCCCAGTATCTCTTCCAGCAGAATGCAGCCTCTCTGCCCTGGCTCCTTCCCTCCCAGCCACTGCGGTTCCCTGGGGCCTACCTGTGGAACCTGAGCCGCATGGCCCCCGAGGGGCTGAGGACTGTGGCCTGGCTGGCTGGCCAGCGTGGTGCTCCTCAGGACTGCGGCACTGAGATGTAACCTGGCCTCAGCTCAGGAACAGGGGCCAAGCAGGGCAGGACCCTCCACTCTACATAGGAACTCCAACCAGTGGCTCATTGGCTTAGTGTCAGGACCACCCTGACAGATTAGCAAATCTGGTTATAACCTTCAGACTCAGTGTGTCCCCTAGACTGTGACTTGGGGCTACAGCTTGCTGCATGCCCCTCTCCCCTTCTGGAATGTACTCTAGTCTTGCAGTGTGCTACTGGCTCTTTCTTGCCCAACCATCACTCTGGTTACCCCATTTTCTCTGGGTCTAGCTGACTGTTCGGCCCCAAGACCTGGGGCATAAAGTGGTTGAAACTTAAGAGGCCTTCTGTGTCCACATGGCCAATCAGTGTCCAGTGCTGATCTAAAATGGAGATACTCTAATCTCCTCCCACTCGTTAGGCAATAGGCAGTTCAAACAAATGGAGAATAATGGATACAACCATTGAGCTGTGACTAGGAGACTGTCACATCCCCATTCTTCTTTGTCCAGATTGACTGGGAATGTCTGGATAGGTGCCTGTGTGGGTGAAGACTATGTCTGCATACAAGTGATGTGATACCAATGTGTACCCCAGGGTGACTCTCACACTCTTTCAAACCCTTCTCTAAGGCAAGAAAGGCTGACATGTTATATCTGAGCACAAAGCCAAGAAACTACATTAAGTCTGTCTTTCTATAAAAATCCTGAACTTGTCACCGGCAGGTGAAGTGTGCCCAGCTCTCCCTGACCATAGGTGTCTGAGAGGGCGGGCCAGAAGACCGGGCACCAAACACGCATGCCAAAGTGAACGGTCATCTCATGAGGATCTTGACACAATCCTGTGGACCGTTCCATGTGATTTGGAACCCACTTTTTATTAGCTTCCCATGCCTCTGTCCTTTCTCTCTCCCCTGCCATCCTGACACTGATAGTTTGTCATATAAATCTCCTGGTTGTTTTTCTTTTCTAGGAAAAAAAATTAAAAGGCAAAACAAAACAAAAAGACAGTACAAACAAGAATGTAAATACCAATGATTTCTTGTCATTTTTTTCCAGAGCTTTCCCCGTATGTTTTTCTCTTTTCCTCTAACTTAGAAGGGATTTGTGTGCCTGCACCATGCATGACATTTTTGTTCCTAGGAGCTCCTAATTGTGACACCTTTCACGTAGAAGTTTCCTAGGCCCACAAGCTAAGAAGCTAACAGATGGCTGTGCCCAACATCATTAGTTCAAACCTTGACTTTGTCCTCTGGTTAGCTGCAGAAAGAGCCACTTAGAAACTCCTGCCATCTGTGGGGAGTAGACTTTGGGTTGTGGCTTATAAAAGAAACCATCCTGCCAGTCACCAGTGGCTCACACCTGTAATCCTAACTACTCAGAAGGCTGAGATTTGAGGATTGCAGTTTGAAGCCAACCTGGCAGGAAAGTGCATGAGTTTTATCCCCAATAAACTACCAAAAAAGCCAGTCCTGGAGCTGTGGCTCAAGTGATAGAGTACTAACCTTGGAGGGGGGCAGGGGGCGGCAGCGAGCAGGACAGCACTACTCCCTGAGTTCAAGCCCCAAGAATGGCCAAAAAGAATAATAAACTGTCCTCTCTTTGAAACTTTAAGAAGTGATCATTGGAAAGGATTGGGGATAGGAATTGTTCCCAGGAATAACCTGTAGAAAAGCTCTTCTGGAAGTGCCATCTATCTATCTTTCCTGTGTGCTAAGATTATAGTGAAAAGGCCTAGAGCTTTCTTTGGGAAACAGTCCATTTAGGTAAATACAAATATTTCCTCTTTGAGAAAGTACCTATGTTCTTTCTGTGGAGCTGGGAGTATGGTCTCATTTCATGTGAATTCAGATGTTCATGTGAAGGATTCCTTTTTTGGGATATACACGAGAGGTACCATGAAAGGAAATGATGACTATCAAGAGCTTGCCTCCCATGTTGTAATCCTTAGTTCAGAAGGACTTGGCCACAGGAAGGTAGAGTGAAGTGAGTGGTCTGTACAACTTACAACAGTTCTAGAGGGGAGAGTATCACTAAAGGCTTCCTGGAAGAGGCAGTTGGAGCCAGGATTGATGAGAGGATGGCACTGGTGGCAGGATAATGAGGGGTCAGGAAGTTAAAGACTCATCTGTGCTACAAAGCAGTGGGGAGCTTTGGTGTAGAGCATTGAGGATGGAAGGAGATGCTGCTTTATTGACTGTTGACAGTGTGAAAGAATGACTGCCTGGTGTTAATCAAAATGTCTGGGGGGCTGAAAGTGGAGGGCCTGAGACCTGAGGTGCTGTGGTAAAACCAGATGTCCCAGTCTCTGTCACCCCATGAGAGAGGACACTGGAAGGTGAGATCAGCTGCACGTTCCTAAGGACCTCACTCATGAAATGAAGGCAGAAAGGCGGCCTAGGGAGAGAGGAAATGGTTGTTGCACCCAAGGAAAAGGCAGTTCTCACCAGACCACCCCGGAATCTTCAGCTGGCATCTCATCTGCAGGTATCCACACCTACAGGGACACACAGGTTCTGAAGGGGAACAATCCTCTTCCTATGCATTTTTGTGTGTGTGTGTGAGTAGCACTTTAAAGAGGTTTATACAGTGCATGGAGAGAAAAAGGCCCTTTTAAACGGGACCCCTAGAAGTAAAGCTACTCTGTTAAGGGGAGTGGTTTGAGGAAAAAGAGAACTGGGGGAAAGGACAGTTTCCTCAAGAAGAATCTGTTGGTCCCAGAGCTGAAGGATTTATATCCATTTGGCTAATAGGTCATAAAAGGCTTTTTCCTAAGATACTGTACAGAGGAGGTAGAGACTCCTTAGCACAACTATGTGTCTAAGGAGATAGAGAATGATAATAGTAATTTAAAAGAGACAACAATGGAGAAATGCTAAGGGGTTACGTGAGCCTCTGAGTGGGGCCTGAGAGTTGTATTGTTTATAGACAGCTCTATTTGGAAGGTTTCTGCTTGTCTCTAAAAAAGGGGAGAAAAAGCAACTGGCCTTATCAAGGGGTCAACTTTGTGGTGAAGTGGACCATGTAGCCTGCATGCCCTACTTCTTTCTTCCTCCCTCTTAGGGGGTCTCTTCCCTAGATTTCCAATGCCACAACTGGTGGGAGGTTTCCTTGTGGAATAAGCTTAGAGTGGCGGATGGGATTTGTTCTAAAAAGGGGGAGGGTGTCCCTTAGCCTTTACAACCTGTTTGCCTTCTATAATCTAACAGAAGGGCAAGGGAAGTCTGCACAAGTGTATGTGTCCTGACAGTCAAGGAAGGCTTCCTGTGGGGTAAAACACTGCATCCTGGTTTTGAAGACCGGACAAGCTTTGGTAAGAGAATGGTGAGTCAGAGTGCCCAAGCAGGAAAGGGCATGGCTTTGGGGAAAATGGCTGATGTATTGGGCAGTGGTGATACTGAGGAGGAGTATCAACCAATTAAGTGGATGGCTTTGGGGCTTAAAATACTAAGATTATTGTCATGACACTTAAAGCTGCAAGACACAGAACTCAAGAAGTAGAATTTATTGATTTTCATGCTGAAAAGATGGTCATACAGGGACTCCATGATAGGGAGATATGATTTCTCTCCATCTTTTTTGCTTCCTTTTGCTATTCAGGTCTCAAAAGGTAAAACAAGGCTGCCAGTGGCCAAAAATTCATATTAACCTCCTTAGTTAAGGTACCAGAATGAATCTTCTTTGCCCAACTTAGATCATGGCCCTTTCTATGAACTGTGGCCAAGAACTTGGAATATCATCATGTGGCCCAGATAGAAGGTGAAGTTCTTGATTCAGAGATGGTGGGGGTATGTGAGCATAAGGATCAGACCTATACTAAACAGATGCTTTCTGGTATGCCTTTAAAACGGAGGTGAGGTGAGCAGCCTATGGTCTCCCTCTGCTTTCCTTTTTTTAAAGTCAAATTATGGGGCTTGAACTCAGGGCCTGGGCACTGTCCCTGAGTTTTGTGTTCAAGGCTATCACTATGCCACTTCAAGGCATAGCTCCATTCCCTGTCATCCTGTTATAAAGGCATGAAGTCCATTGATCAGCTATGTTTTCATGCAGTTCTAGGAATCCTGTCTGTATCAATCGGTTTATATTATCACAACTGCAGATTGAACCTGTAGCCTTGCATTATTTAAGCACTCTGCCTCTGAGCTATCACAGTCTATGTGTATGCCACTTTTGACAGAGTTGGGTCTTGAAGCTTATCTACTCTGTGAGCAAAGTAAGCTCTGAGTACACACTGGTTCTGTCCCAGGATTTTCTTTTTCTTCTTTCTTACCTTTGCCTCTTTTTCCTACTTCGATCCAGCAGCCACCAGCTTCTGACTTTACCTTTTATTTTCCCCCCATTCTGAGCTCAATGCTTTGTTTGAGTAGTGCTTGGGACTCTTGAAAAAGGTTTCACATATTCTAGTCATTTGGGGTAATCATCCACTTATCCATCTCACCTGTGTTTCCATCTGGACGTCAGTCCAATAGGATAGGCAAGTAGTGAGCAGCCGCAGACACCAGAAGGTAGTAGGACTGATAATATGCCACCATTCCAGTGTATTTTGCATCAGTTCTACAGAACTCTGTGTGTGTGTGTGTGTTTTAATTGCCAGGCTTCTCCAGGAGAATTGAGTGTGTGTGTGTGTGTGTGTGTATATATATATATATATATATATATATATACACACACACACACACAGAGACTTAGTATAAGAAATTAGGGAAGTGGCGCAGTGGCTCAAGTGGTAGAGTGCTAGCCTTGAGCAAAATGACCAAGGACAGCACCCAGGCCCTGAGTTCAAGCCCCACAACAAGCAAACAAAAACATTAGCTCCCATAATTTTGTAAGCTGATAATTTCTAGTATGTGCAGAGACAGGAAGCTGGAAAACAAGGAGAGTCAGTCTGCCAGTCTGAAGGCTGGTAGATTCAACATGTCGGAAGAGCTGATGTTTCAGTCCAAGTTCAAAGACAACAAGGAAGCATATGTCCCAGCTCAAAAAACAGGCAAGAGGAATTCTCTGTTCAGCCTTTTTGTTCTACTCAGGCCTTCTAGTGTGGAAGGTCCATCCAAATTTGGTAGGCATTCTATTTTATTCAGCCTAGCAATTAAAATATTAATCTGATCCCAAAACACTCTCACAGGAATACCTAGAATAAAGTTTGACCATCTGGGTACCCTATGGCCCATTCAAGTTGGCATATAAAATTACTAACCATCATTACACATCTTTAACACATTTGATATCTGACAAACATCTCTGGTGAATTTCCCCTTCAACCTTGGAGCTAGTTACTTCAGAAAGATGTTGAGAAATTGAGCCAGGCGCTGGTGGCTCATGCCTGTAATCCTAGCTACTCAGGAGGCTGAGATCTGAGGATCACCGTTCAAAACCAGCCCGGGCAGAAAGTCCGTGAGACTCTTATCTCCAATAAACCACTAGAAAACCGGAAGTGGTGCTGTGGCTCAAGCGGTAGAGCGCTCGCCTTGAGCTGAAGAGGGCAGGGACAGTGCCCAAGCCCAGAGTTCAAGCCCCACGACCGAACCAAAAAAAAAGATATTGAGAAATTGGAGAAGCTCCAGCTGAGCAGTCGGAATGCATTAGTCAGTTTTCCATTATCATAACAAAATATCTGAAGCAAGGTACTTACACAGGGAAGGAAGAAGACTGATGGATAGGGTGAGTCTGCTCACAATTTATTGTATTAATAAATATGTCAAGATAACCCCCACCCTTGCATAACTAATATGCACTAAAGGAGGGACATATTTAGCCCACGGTTTTGGAGGCTGAAAGTCCAAGACTGCACAGTTTTATTGATCCAGTCTCTAGTGAGGGTCAAGAATGCAGTCTCTCTGAAAGGCCTGAGCAATAATATAGAGTAGCAGATAGGCCCAAGCATCCCCTTTATTACTGGGTTGGAAGACTTTAAGTCTATCAGTTAAGTGTGCTGCTGATACAAATTCTATATCCATCCAATCATGACAGCACTAAACAAGAAAAAGACCCAATTCAGAGCAATGGGATTCAGTTCTTCT